CTCGCTCCTCGCGCCGCCCTCCGCCCCGTGCGCGGGGCCGGCCGCGCCCGGCGCGCTCTTCCCCACCTCCGTGCCCTCGCTGCGCGCCTACCCGCGGCTGCTCCTCGCCTTCCGCCGCCCCGCCGCGGCCGCCGTCGCCGACCCGCAGGGCGCCGCCGTGCTCGAGGAGGAGGACGACGAGGCGCCCGTGCAGTTCGACGACGTCGACGAGGACTACGAGGACGGCTACGGCGGCCGCGGCCCCGCGTTCACGGCCCCCACCCGCCCGCGCACCGGCAAGGCCGCCCTCCCGCTCAAGCGCGACCGCGTACGCCACGGAACCCCGCGCGCATCATTTTTATCTTCTGTATATATACGCGTCTCGTTTTGGAACGGCTGGGTGACGTTGGTCTCCAATGCGTGCAGACGAGGTCCAAGAGATACCTGGAGATACAGAAGCTGAGGGAGAGCAAGAAGGAGTACGACGTGCCCATGGCCATCTCGCTCATGAAGCAGGTCGCCAACACCCGCTTCGTCGAGTCCGCCGAGGCGCATTTCCGCATGAACCTCGACCCCAAGTACAACGACCAGCAGCTCCGGGCCACGGTATCGTCTCGTTTCTTCTTTCTCTTGTTTCTTCTCTCGCTCTCTCTTCCGTTGTTTGATTCGTGTTTTTGCTTGTGGCCGCAGGTCAATTTGCCCAAGGGGACGGGACAGACCGTGAAAATTGCAGTTCTCACCCAAGGTGAGTGGCCACCGGTTGCGTGTTGTTTGGAGATGGTTATCGCCCAATCCGATGCAAATTGCACTCTGATGCATGTGTTCAACAGAGTTATATGATGCATGGAGTTGATCGAGTTCAGAGCATGCTGACTTCAATTTAATTGGTCAATATGTCACTATCTCTATGTAAAGCACCAATGGATGTTTTGTTGAACAATGTGGTCGATATAGTAAAAATGAGTGTGCCAAAGCAAACCCCGTTGCCTGTTAGTTTCAAGTAGTGACAACCCATGAACTTGCATTCCACCTAGGCTTGTTTATCTACAGTTGATGTCTCATTCAATTGATGAATATTATGGTTACAGTTATCTTGCTCTTCTTTTGGAGTTGAAAAGCCATAAATGTATCAGAATTGAATGTTCATATTGGGTTGATCAAAATTGTGTCTTGAGGGGTAACTCAGCAGAAGCTCTCGATCAGTACACATTATGTTCATGGTGTTCCTAGTTCTGTTCATACACGTAGGATGTCAGTTGGGCATACCACTTTGCTTTCATTTTCTTGATGGCTATGATGCATAGACTTGATGAATAATCTAAACTTCCATTTCACAATCTTTTGTTATACTATGTTATTCTTACCTTGTTATGCTCAGAAAATTGGTTGCCTTATATAGTGATTCTCTGATGTCTTGTAGGTGAGAAGATAGATGAGGCAAGGGCTGCAGGTGCTGATATTGTTGGCTCAGATGACTTGATTGAACAAATAAAAGGAGGATTCATGGAGTTTGACAAATTGATTGCGTCACCTGATATGATGCCTAAGGTATGGCAGTGGAACTAGCTTTGTGCGGATCATCTTTGAAGTCTTTCTTGTTTGATGAAGCTTCCCTATCCACATGCAAGGTTGTTGGGCATATTTAGCTAAGCAATCTGTCGGACACTTCACGGAAACGGATTTTACTAGGAAATAATACAGTGATGCTTTTTTATTTGCGATTATGGTCAAATATATTCCATTGGAATGTATTTTCCTTTTGTTGTATTGCATTCCCTTCACGCAAACATTCCCTTTCTCAGGTTGCCAGCTTGGGTAAGATTCTAGGACCAAGAGGATTGATGCCCAACCCCAAAGCTGGTACTGTTTCTCCAAACATTACGCAGGTACTGTGCAGACTTTATTTGCTTTCCCGTAAATATTGTTTGTGAATCATCAATCATGTCTATGTTGTTTGGACTGGGTATTGCGACAGTGACAGAGGGTGAAAAGTAGGGAGTTGCCCGTCCAACTTCAGTACCCAGATATTCATAGGTTGCTTCCTTGGCTAACTGCATATATGTCCATAGCTGAAGGCTTGTACTTAGAGATATGTATTGTGCAACTCGAATGTGTAGTTTGGTTGTGCTATGGAAAGTCAAGGCAGTGGGAGAGGAAAGTAGAAGATGTTGATGTGGCAGTTTTTGGCAGTGAACTGCTAATAATTTTTAATCCACAAGTTGCCTTGGTAAGGCTGAAAGTATAGTACCAATGATAATTAACTTAAGGCAGAGTGGGTTAGTTGACTGTAAGGTAGGATTACCAAGTCTACCATTGTTACTGACATTTGAGTTGATGGATTTTAGCACCTAGACTCAAAGCCTTGAGTACCTGAAACCACTTAGGATTGCATAAGTAGCACTAACACATCATTTTTATTTTTATAGTAAATAGGTAGCATTTCTTCTTGAATACCTGAATATTAATCTATATTCATCCTGGCAAGACTATCATGATACACTGCAGCTATACCGGACTGCAGAAACACATACAATACAACCTTGATATAAGTTGTTGACACTGATAAATGATCTTATTCACACATTGTATTCATAAAGTCTCCTTTTTCTTGATATTGCGACATCCATCTGGCTATGGTGTGTGTTAGATAATAACGAGAAATAAACGAGACAAAGAGACACAGATTTTTACGTGAAAACCCTTGCGGGAGAAAACCACGGACGCACGAAGGCGCAATCACTATGAGGAGGAGTATTACAAGCACGAGACGACAGGCCGTCTGAGGTGCGACTACATGGGGTATATATGAGGGGCAACACATAGGAGTCCTTGTAGGACAAGTAAACGAGTTGTACTCGTACGCGTCGGTACCAACGCAAAAGGCCCACACTGTATGTACTACGTCTAGTCCAATACGGTACTAGAATTTGGATCACAATTTAACAATCTCCACCTTGAGCCAAATTCCCTCCAGTAGTCGAAGAAAGTGAATAACTCCATCCAAATCAGCTTAAACACCTTGTGCGTCAAAGTCCATAGGACTAGTGAGAAATACCAACTAAGCCTGAGCAAAGCTCAAACTTATTGGTCGGAACTGGCTTTGTCATCATATCAGCTGGATTATCATGAGTACTTATCTTGCATACCTTCAAATCGCCTTCAGCAACAACATCTCGAATATAATGAAATCAGACATCAATGTGCTTTGTCCTCTCATGATACATTGGATTCTTTGTAAGATATATAGCACTTTGATTGTCACTAAATACGGTAGGGCAAGATGAGTCTTCACAAAGCTTAGTGTACAAACCTCTCAACCAGATAGCTTCTTTGCATGCCTCAGAAATAGCCATATACTCGGCATCAGTAGTGGAACAAGCCACAATAGACTGCAAAGTTGCTCTCCAACTCACAGCACAACCACCAATGGTGAAAACATAACCTGTGAGTGATCTTCTCTTATCCAAATCACCAGCAAAATCAGAATCAACAAAACCAACAAGTCCATCTCTAGTTTTCCCAAACTGTAAATAAGCATTAGAAGTACCTCGCAGGTATCTGAAAATCCACTGAACTGCTTTCCAATGTTCCTTTCTAAGATTAGCTATGTATCTACTGACAACACTCAATGCATATGATAAATCCGGACGAGAACAAACCATGGCATACATAAGTGAACCAACTGCACTTGAATAGGGAACTCTAGACATGTACTCAATATCGGCATCTGACTTAGGACATAAAGTTGATGATAATTTGAAGTGTGCAGCTAACGGAGTACTTACTGGCTTGGCATTATGCATATTAAAACGACGAAGAACTTTATCAATATATCCCTTCTGACTTAGATATACTTTTCCAGACGGTCTATCTCTGGATATTTCCATGCCAAGTATTTTCTTTGCTGCACCCAAATCCTTCATCTCAAATTCATTACTCAATTGCTTCTTTAGTTCATTAATCTGTGACATACTCTTTGCAGCAATAAGCATATCATCAACATAAAGGAGCAAATAAATAGTTGAACCTTTGACAGTTTTCAAATAAACACAACTATCATAATTAGACCTTTTAAAACCTTGAGAGAGCATAAAGGTGTCAAATCTCTTGTACCACTGTCTAGGGGATTGCTTCAATCCATAAAGAGATTTCTTTAACTTACAGACAAGCTTTTCTTTTCCAGGAATAACAAAACCTTCAGGTTGTTCCATATAAATATCCTCTTTTAATTCTCCATGTAAGAATGCAGTTTTAACATCCAATTGTTCAAGCTCAAGATCATGCATGGCAAACCTGCATTGGACAACATGCAACGGGCTCTGGAAATAATGGTCCTGTTCAAACGCTCAGCAACACCGTTTTGTTGAGGACTATAAGGAACGGTGTAGTGTCTGACAATGCCTTCAGACTTGCAATAATTCTTAAATTGCTTAGAACAGAATTCCATACCATTATCAGTGCGAAGTATTTTTACCTTCTTTTCAGTTTGTCTCTCAATCATAATCTTCCACTCCTTAAAAGCTGAGAATGCTTCATATTTATGCTTCAAGAAATAAGACCAAACTTTTCTCGAATAATCATCAATAATAGTCAGCATGTAACTTGCACCACCTAGTGACTTCTTGCGAGACGGTCCCCATAAATCAGAATGCACATAATCAAGAATACCTTCGGTTGTATGAATCGAAGTGTTGAACTTCACCCTCTTGTGCTTGCCGAAGATACAATGCTCACAAAATTTCAATTTACCAGGTTCATATCCATCAAGAAGACCTCTTTTATTTAACTCTGCTAAACCAAGTTCACTCATATGTCCAAGGCGCATATGCCAAAGGTTAGCAGCATCACAATCAGAATTCATTGAAATAACTGGAGTAGCGTTACCTGAAATGGTAGAACCTCGAAGGTAATAAAGACCATTGGTCGAACTTAAGTCACCTTTCATCACAACAAGGGAGCCTTTGGTGACCTTCAAAACACTATCTCCACCTGAATACTTGTATCCCTTTGCATCAAGGGCACTCATAGAAATAAGATTTCTCTTCATCTTCGGAATATACCGAACATCTGTCAAAGTTCTGATTATGCCATCAAACATCTTGATTCGAATAGAACCTATGCCTTCAATCTTGCATGGTGAATTATCAAAACCCAAAACGGAATCAGCAGAAGTAGTGGAATCAAAAGTAATAAACCAATCTCTATGTGGGCACATATGAAAAGTGCATGCAGTGTCAAGTACACACTCATCATTGGTCTCAGCACATCCAGCAATAACGACAAGAGCATCATCAGAACTATCATCACGAGCAACGTTAGCAGAACTTTCACCTTGTTTGTTACCCTTCCTCTTTTCTTTATTTTGCAACTTGAAACACTCTGAGATGTCATGCCCGTCTCTCTTGCAATACCTGCAATATTTCTTGTCTCTGGATTGCGACCAGCCCCTGTAGCCATTTTTACTTTTGCCTTTGTTTTCATTATTGGAGTTCTTCTCCTTTGTCCTGCCACGAACAGATAATCCCTCGGCTTGGGATGAACTCGAACCATCATGAGGCACCATTAATTTCATCTTCTCCTTAGAGTTCAAAGCTTCATAAACTTCATTAAGCGTGAGAGTATCACGACTGTATAATATGGTGTCTCTAAAATTGGTATAAGAACTTGGCAGTGAACAAAGTAACATTAAAGCAGTATCTTCCTCTTCATACTTAACCTCCATTGCAGCTAGATCGGATATAATCTCCTTAAATTCTGAAATATGATTCAAAACATTACCTCCCTTGGGTAACCTGTGCAGGAATAATTTTTGCTTCAGATGCATCTTGCTGGTGAGATCTTTAGTCATGCAAATCCCTTCCAGCTTTAACCATAGAGCGGCGGCAGTTTTCTCGCTCAAAACTTCCTGCAAAATATTATTATGCAAATGGAGTTGAATTTGTGACAAAGCCTTACAATCAATTCTTTTCTCCTCAGCAGTCCAGTCCTCAATTCGGTTCTTCCCAAAACTATCCAGTGCTACATCATAGTCGGCCTGTGCCAACAACGCCCGCATCTTGACTTGCCATAGGGTAAACCTTGTGTCACGATCCAGCAGCGGAAAATCGTACTTCATGGATGCCATGAGTAGATAAATCTGTGTGCACAAAGTAGTACAAGTCGATAGAAAAATTCTTGACAGAATTTAAATTACGCGGAGCAAAGAACTAGGAACAGTAGCACCTGGTAGCTCGGGTAATCGAAGACCAAAAGCTTGATCTGTAGCTTGACGTGACGAATAGTACTAGTAGTCAAATCACGTAGTGGATCAGATGTGAATTAAACTACTGCTTTGCTTCTGGCCGGCGAGCAGTAGTACTACTAGCTTTTGCTTCGGTTGATGATGTGTGAATCAATTACTAGTACTAGTTGAAGTAGTACGAGCCGATCAATGCTTGACGTGATGCGAAGCAACAGCAGCAGCCTCGGGACTTGAACGAAACAGCAGCAGCTACTACTCGGCGACGTTGTACGTGGAGCAGCGGAACTCGATGGAACGGCCAGCTGATGTGGATGCTGCATACTCGGGGCTTCAAGCGTATATACGCAGCAGCGGCAACTTGTGGAAATCCAGTCGAACTCGGCTTCCCTTATCGATCTGGATTCGGTTCGCCGGGTCGCGTCGGCGGCGGCGCACAGGACGCCGTAACCCTAATTCTCTCGTCTCAAATCTCGTATCTGAAACCTTAGCTCTGTATACCACTTGTTAGATAATAACGAGAAATAAAGGAGACAAAGAGACACAGATTTTTACGTGGAAACCCTTGCGGGAGAAAACTATTGTAAACTGGTCACAGGAATTTGGTATCACTAGATTCATCATTTTAATATATTTCCATACTGTATAGTTGTATGATTTGTGGCAGCAACATAGTATGAGATAAATTAGTTGTTGAAGTGGTATGGATTACCTTGAAGCTCGTGTTGCTATCGAGAACGACCTAATAGTTGAGAGTATTATTTGATCTGTTTATGCTGTACCAACTTAAAATTGAGCCAATCAGCCCCAATCTTGTACTACCTATGTAACATTTTATAAGACGTTTTTAGAATCTATGACAGTGTCAAATAATGTCTTATATTAAGTTACGGAGGGAGTGGCAGTTAAAGTTTTATACTGTCAATGGAGAGTGGTGAGCTTGATTATGCTAATTGTGCAAATGGTTCCAGGCTATCGATGAGTTCAAGAAAGGTAAAGTTGAATTC